TTTCGTCTCTCTCTCATCTCCGCGTCTTCTCCTCTCTCTCTCTCCTCTTTTCGTCGCTCTCTCTTTTCTCTCGATTCTCTCTCTCTCTCTCATCTCGTAATTCTCTTCTCTCTCTCTCATCTCCCGTCGATTCTCCTCTTCTCTCTCCGATTTTCTCTCTCTCTCGTCGATTCTCCTCTCTCGTTTTCTCGCGTCGATTCTCCTCTCTCTCTCTTTGTCTCGATTCTCTCTCTTTCTCTCTATCATTCGTTGTATAAACGTCTTCTCCTCTATTTCTTTAACTCTTCTCTCCTTCCGTACTCTCTTTCTCTCTCATTTCATTCTTTTCTCTCTCTCTCTTTCCGATTTTCTATTGTGTCATATACTGAAGACATTTTTTACTAACAGTTTTAAAAGTTATCATATTTTTTTCCTTTATATATTTCTTGAACACTATTTTTTTCTTTTCCAGGGTTCCGTTAATTTCAAATTCGGAGTGCTATTTGCCAAAGAAGGACAGACATCTGATGATCCTCTCTATTGCAATCTCATCTGTTTAGATTCTCCTCTCTTGATGCGCGTTTTAATAGACTACCTCCTCTCAGCAAGTGACATTTGAATACCAAAGATCAGCATTACACTCATAGCATAAGGAAATTGAACATAGAATAGGCTGTCTCCAGGTCGATTCTCCTCTCTCTCTCTGCACGTTGCTACGAAATCTCCTCTCTCTCTCTAAAAATTCCAGTGATGTTCTTCCTCTCTCTCTCTTCATAAGATCGAGTCTTTCATCTGGACATCATCTCATCTCTCTCAATCTAGTTCAGAAATATCTGTCTGTCTTTCTCCCTTTCTAATCTCCGTATCGGCCCGTCTCTCTCTCTCTCTCTCTCTCTCTCTCTCTCTAATATCTCTCTCTCTTTCTCCTTCTCTCTTTCTCTCTCTTCTCTCTCATCTCCGCGTCGATTCTCCTCTCTCTCTCTCTCTCATCTCCGCGTCGATTCTTCTCTCTCTCTCTCTTTCACCCCCACGTCGATCCCTCTCTCTCATCCCCACGTCGATCCGTCTCTCTCATCCGCACGTCGATCCTTCTCTCTCATCCCTCGTCGATCCCTCTCCCCCTCTCTTTTTCGTATCGATCCCTCTGTCATCTCCGTATCGATCCGACTCTCTCTCTCTCCCTCACTCTGTGTCATCTCCGCATCAATCCGTCTCTGTCTCTCTCTCTCTCATCTCCGCATCGATTTGTCTCTCTTTCATCTCCGCATCGATCCCTCTCATCTCCACGTCTATCCGTCTCTTTTTCTCATCTCCATTGATCCCTCTCTCTCTCTCTCTCTTCCACCTATCCGTCTCTCTCTCATCCACATTGATACGTCTCTCTCTCCTCTACATTCATCAGTCTTTGTCATCTCCATTGATCCCTCTCTAACATCTCCATTGATCCGTTGCTTTACCCCCCCGCCCCTGTAATCTCCATTGGCCCGTCGCTCTCTTTTGATCCGTCTCTCTCCCATCCCCACCGTCACACATCTGTCTCATCTCCTCTTTGATCCGTCTCTCCCTACTAATTGAAGTTGATCTGTTTCGTCGTAAACTGCTTGCGTTTCGTTTTTTGTTTTTTTTTTGTGGGGGGGGGTCTTTGAGCTCTTCCGCGTTTTAAAATTAATATCTGCATAAAACAGACAAATATATTCCGGACAATATCATCCACCTGGAATTGTCGACAGGAAATTAAAATCTTTTGCAATTTGCTATGGCAGCAAAATTGTTTCCAACACTTTTCTTTGATTTATTTTTATTGTTCTTACTTAAAACCTAATCAAGCCTTTGATCATATGTAATGAACAGGAAATCTATTTAAACAGTAATCCTTTCACTGATAACCAATGTGGTTCTACAGAAGGACGCTGAGAATAGCAGGGTCGTGATCACGTGAGCAACGACAAAGTTTAAGAAAATGGAAACGAAAAGAACGTTTATACGTAGCCTCAGAAAGAGTTGAAATTTTAGGGTACATAATGCGAAAAGGAGGACATTGAAGGCAAACGGAACAGAGGAAAGCAGCTCATAATCTACTGAACGAGTTTGACATAACAGACATTAAGGGATAAAACACAAATTTTACAAAGGGTTTTTTTAGCTCTTAGTTAAGTTTGTCTTTTTGCTATATCTACAAAAGGAGTTGTATAAAGCTATCATCGCTCACGTCCTGAAGAGACACTCCACGCAGAAAAAGATTATTCTAATATATATATATATATATATATATGAAGAAAAATATACTGAAAAAACAAACAAAAATCTTAATATGCGATTATGCTGTTTTAATGTTTAATGTCAACGTCGGACGTTTCGGTCTAATAGACCATCTTCAGGACATATTCATAAAACATAATTAACATAGACCATATACAATTCAACATGAAAAAGACGTTGGACATAAAAACAATACCAATCCAAACAGATAACTGAAATCTTTTATAAGATCAGCGTTCCGTTTAAATATGATCACGTCGTCCTAAAATTTGAGTATTTTGAATGAAAAACGAAAAGAATTTTATTTTGATCTAAAACTTATATGTACGTTTGTCGAGCATTCATCTTGCTAGAAAAGGGGAAATATTAAAGAAGCCAGGTCTAGTGTTCACCGTGCGTGAGATAAAATTATTTTAAATCCGCCTAAATTTTTATTTGAAAATATTTTAAAATTTTCAGAATCAAAATCGAAATTATGATCAGATTTAGTTGTGTGTACAACTATTAGACCGAAACGTCCGATGTTGACATTTAAACATTAAAACAGCATAATCGCATATTAGGTTTTTTTTTTATTTTTTTTTCAGTATATTTTTCTTCATACTGTTTGATCTATATCCATATATTTATATATATATATATATATATATATATATATATATATATATATATACACACACAAATACAGGGGTTGATACAGAGGAATAACATTCTGATAATCAAAAATACTATTCTTAAGAGCGCTCAATACCAATATATATATATATATATATATATATATATCATACACGTTTCATTAAATAATATAGACAAGTGTTGTCTATTTATTTTATGTAAATTTTTTCATAACGTCTGATAAGTTTAATAACATTATCATTGAACGAAGAAAGAAATTCACAATATTGATTCATATTTTTAATACAATCTAAGCTTTCGGCTTACATAAGCCATTATCAAAGATGTCAATTACAACATATTAAGCAATATAAGACAGTGATGATAGTCTGTGATTGCTTACATAGATGATTTCTAATCAACGATAAACACGTGCATATAAGACGCTAGAAAAGAAAATAGCACCGCATCTCATGACGTCACACATGATCACGCGAGAGTGAATTGGAGAAGTATAAGTATGTGATGCCGTTGGTATAAACCAATAACTTTTGTTACCAATTATAGACTTTAAGGATATTTGTAGAGATTCCATAGTTGATTTTTTGTTTTTGTTTCAATTGTTTGATGTATAATGCTTCAAGGATTTTTAGTTTTTTGTCTATTGTTTTCATGTCGAAGTATAGTTGTGTTTTCGACAAGTATTTTACGGAATTGTGTGTGCGGGCAGGCATGTTGTTTTAAATTAAAATATATATATTCATGGAAAATTGAGTTTATAATAAATTCGTGGAACAGTTCTTTAGATAGATAGCGTATTGACGGGTATAGGATGGGGAATCCTGTCAAAGTTCAAATATTTTCATTGAAAAAAAAATATATATATATATATATATATATATTTATTTAATAGTGGAGCAATAGATAGCGTCTTGGATTGGGGAACGGAGAGCCGAGTTCGAATTTGCATTACTTAGATGCATAATACCCCACCGCGCGCTATATTGAGTCTTTTCGTAGGACGCTTGCGTTGTATCGTAACGTTCCTGGTTCGATTTCGTTAGTAGATGAGTCCCAAAAAGGACTCGATGAATTATTACGTGAAATATATATATATATATATATATATATATATATATATAGTCAGGAGCTAATTACGTCAATAAAAACTTGCTCAGTTGTGTTTTTATTGAGAAGGCGTTCCTGCTCGGAGAATTTGGGGGGAGTTATAATTTGCATGATTTAGATGCTGCCTTCCTAGCTTCTCCTTAATTATTTGACATTCGGCATCCTATATTTTTAAACTTTAATCCTTGCCTGTCTTTGAATGTTTCCTGGACATGGATTTATTACGGAATTCTTACCATGAAATAATCATTAGAAAAAATTTTACCTTTAATATAGGCCTGAACTGTGCCCATGAAAAATACCTTCTAAGCATAAGTACATTTAAAAGTAATACACACATGTTATTTAACTGCATCCTTCAAAATTGTCTCCTTATATATTTATGCAGCTTGCATTACAAAAAGTAACACAAAGTTCAAAACTCAATTGTCTTTGGCGTCCTGAGTATGACGATAAACTACATCCGGCAGCAAGGCCTCTGATCAGGAGGTTTTGAGAAGTGTGGAACCACCTCTTAATTGCTGGTGTTCCTAGTATTCCACCCTGACCCGAAGTGTAGCACCTGTTAGGGGCCAAGCTATGGACAAATAGTTAACACCCAAACTTGAATCAAAACACTATAAAAGTGTAAAAATACTTTTAATACCAGCAATACATTTTTTTGAAAAACTTATTGCCAGCAGTGCATTTAGAAAAAGAAAAACGTATTACCAACAGTAAAAATTTTGTTAGCGTTCAATAACCAATTGAGGTTGATTTTGTCGTAAAAAAAACCAAACCATTCATTGCCTTCGCGCAATCAATTTTTATTGACCATTTCTGACATTAAATAACGGTTGATATGTCATAAATTCAAACCTACAGTTTGCTTGGCGTACATGTTACCGAGGTTAGTCTGCTTGACCATTGGTACTGAATAGGGATGTTGATCCTCATTAGGTGTACTGTGCAAAATTCGACATTAAATAACGGGAAACATCGTAAAATCAACCAATCTAGACTTTGCGAAAGCTGTAAAAATGTTTCTTTCTCTTTGGTGGCATCCTCATCTATGCCAATTTCATTTGCATCACCGTAAGTTAAAGAGTCTTAAATGTTTGAATGAACAAATTGTTTTTATTGGTAACATAAGTGATTTGTTTTTCAGAAGAAGGCAATAACGACTTCAGCAAATTCCTGGATCTTCTCGGGGATAAAGTTCGTTTGAAAGGATGGGATCGCTTCAAAGGCGGTCTGGACGTAAAAAGTGAGTCTGACTTCCTAGTCTTTTTTTTTCTTATTCTGTACTCTTGTTCTTTTTCTTTTTTCTCCTTCTTTTTCTGTTTATTCTTTTTTTCATCTTTCTGTTTTCTTTCTTTTTGTATCTGTTCGAATTTCTTTTCCTTTCACTCTTTTTCATTCTTTCTGTCTTTCTTTTCTTCTCTTTTTCATTTCTTCAGATTTTTGAACGTTCACATCTTCATCTTTCTACATTCTATCTTCCTCGGTTTTCCTTCTTTCCGCTTTTCTTTAATACTTTCTTTTCTTCTTTTTTTCTTTTTTCTCTTCTCTTCTTTTTTCTTCCTCTATATTTCTTTTATCATTCACATCTTTAGTTTCTTGTATTCTTTCTTCCACCGGTTTCTTTCTTTTTTTCTCTTTTATCTCTTCTCCTTCTTTTTCTAAGTTTTTCTTTGTCTTTCTCCTTTTAACTTTCTTTTTTTTCTTTCATCATTCCCATCTTTATCTCCCTGTGTTCTTTCTTCTACTCTGTTTCTTTTCTTTTTTCTCTTTTTCATTCTATTCGTCTTTCTTCTTCCTCCTCTTTCCTTTTCTTTTTATTTTTTTTATTTCTCTTACCTTTTTCTTTTTTTAATATTTAATTCCTATTTTCTTTTATTCTGTCTTCATTTTCTTTCTCTCTCTTTCCATTTCGTTTTTCTTTTCTTTCTTCTCGTTTCCAATTTCACCATCCTTCTCTTTTTTTTTTATTTCTCTTTCTTATGTCTTTCTTTCATCATTCACATCTTTTATCTTTCTATATTCTTTACTAAACTGTTTGCTTTCTTTCCTTTTTCTTTTTCCCTTTTTTTTTTATCTTCGTGTTTTTATCTTCCTGTTATATTTCTTCCCTTCAATGGTTGTTTTCTTTCTTTTTCTTTCTTTGCTTTTCTTCTTTATTCGTTTTCCACTTTTGACTATCTACGTAAAAAAAATATAAGATAAATCAAAATATTAAAATAATTACCGTATTTTCTCGTGCATGATATGAGAAATTTTATGCGAAAGTTAAAGGCAAAAAAAGTCGGTACACTTTCCCGAATTTTTTACTCGGCTTTAAAATCTTCTTATTTGAAACAAGATTGCAAATACACTCAGTACGATAGACATAGATTGATAACAATTATTTACGAAAGATATTTGATATGTCGGTAATATTTGCTCTTTGGGAATCAGCGTAATTAGACATCTTTTCTCTCAGACTTGAAATTCACCGAAATTGATTAAAAAAAAAAAAAAAAAAAAATACACAAGATCTGTCATGTTTTGATAACAGTAAGTTTACAACAAAGCACCTTAACCTGAAAATTTAAAAATAAGTTTTCAAATTCGGAGAAGAATCACACAATGGCTAAACATGTGGTTCATATCTATTCTTTAATATCGTGAAATATATGTACGACATTGAGATTTTCATGGATAATTTTGTAAAACTTTTCTAAAGGAATTTTTATAGAGATCGCTGTACAATGGTGTCGCATTATACTCAAGGATATAATTTATTCCCTGTTTTTAGCTTAAAAAATACGGGTGCGTATTATACACAAGTCGTTTTAGACACAAGATATAGAGTAACTTTTCTATGCTTAAAAGTTCCCAGAACAATCTTAAAAAGAAAATTAAGAAAAAAAATCGGAGGATTTATAAAAAAAAAAAAAAAAAAAAAAAAATTCATTTATTTTTAAAATAGAAAGCCGTTATGACTTTTTCCTCTTACCTCATTATTGTTCACGCCATCTATTCTTTGAGTCGGCATGATTCCCTGCAATAAAATTACTTTTCTTTCAACTTTGGACAAACAAAATCAACAACATTGAAAACCAATTATAATTGTACAACTACCAAAACGAATACAAACATCAATAATCCTTGTCCTCCGACTACAAGCCTCATGCTACTTAAACTCAGACAACTGGTCCTTATGAGATTCCCACAGTGACTTTTTTCAGTCATCACCTAACTCAAGGAAAGAACCATGGACATACTGTAATTTTTCGTAGGATTTTGTAGCATATCTATCGTGAATTAGGTTTGAGAGGACCAAAACATTTAAAGGCTTTCGCGATTTGATCTATTTACAACAATTTAACAGTTTAATATTTAACATATCTTTCAGGTTAACGAAAGGGAAACATTTTGTTTAAATTTATAAAATAAACTGACACTTACAACTGAAAGTTTTCTAACTAGAAACCAAATATACGTACTTTTTTTTCATCGGTTTCTTTCTGAGCATTGGGAAGACATGAAAACGTCACGTTGTTTTTAGATTTTTAGTTATCGGAATGTCCACCTGGAAACAATATAAGTTACTTCCACCAAGACTTTTATTATAAGTCCTCACAAAAACACAGTTCGCCGTTATGCCTTTCTATATTAAAATATTTTCATTAGAAACTCCTTTATAAACAAATACACAAACTCGACTAAAAACTGCAGTAATTCCAATACAGACGGTAGTGAGACTTGGGCAAATCGAAAGAAAGAAATGTCATTCTTCGTCTTTTACGTTGTCCATATAGATGTCCTCTTCTTGCGTTTTTTACACTGCATTCATATCTTGTTGCATCTTTTATATTGCCCTCATGGCTTCCTGCGTCTTTTAAATTGCCCTTATACATTACTGCATCTTTTAAATTGCCCTTTGCCTTCCTGCGTCTTTTACGTTGCTCTCATACTATTTTCGCTTTTTACATTGTCCTCAAGCCTTCCCACGCTATTCACGTTGATCTCACGTCTTCCAGTTTCGTTTACTCCACCCTCATTTTTTTCTACACCTTTTACGTTGCCCCCATTCTTTCCAGTACCTTTTACGTTGCCCTCATCCCTTTCTACACCTTTTACGTTGCCCTCATCCCTTTCTACACCTTTTACGTTGCCCTCATCCCTTTCTACACCTTTTACGTTGCCCTCATCCCTTTCTACACCTTTTACGTTGCCTTCATCCTTTTCAGCACCTTTAACGTTGCCCTCATACTTTTCCGTGCCTTTATATCGCTCTAGTCCTTTTCTGCGCCTTTTACATTCTCCCATGTTTTATAAATACCGTTTTTTCTTTATCTTTGTCTCTTTACATTATCTTCTCATTTGTATTTTTTTTTTTACTTTCTTCTAGGTATTCGCTTTCTCTATCTCTCTTCAACATCATCTTTGTCTTCATAGCTGACCACTTGCGAAAGTTTACACATCACCATAGCATTTTTAAATACATGTATCAGTATGAGTAAAGGGGTTAAAACTATTACTCACGTATATACTGATGTAGGGTTTTTTTTGTCCCTATTAATATGAAAGATATGCCACCCTTTAATTATCAGCTGACATTTGGTTTTACGTACTTTTTTATTGGATTTACCTCAAGCAAGACAGTAAAGCTACTGAGACAAAAGGAGTTACTGGGTGTTAAAGAATTAGAAAATAAAAACATTTCTAAGTATCGAGAGCAACTGAAGTGTAATCAAGAAGCGATTGACATTGAATTTAAATTTTTTGAAGATCAAAGTTAATTATAAAGAATGGAGTCGGAAGACAGTTTCACAAGTGCTAGTAAAGAAACTGTCAACATGGAACTTACTGCTACGTCTAACATATCCAGCAGTAAATTGATGAGATGACTTTTTTGCCTCTCTAGTACTTCCCTTAAATTTATAAAGTCTACATCAGTTAATCCGTACTTGTCAAGACAAAGACTTTATTTTAGACAACAAATATGTATTTTTGTAAATAATCTCCTTCATTTTCTTATAATTCGTATTAATCCTGTCGAGTAAAACTATGCAATGATCATTTCATCGTAAAAGGAAACTGATAACGTGTTCCGAAAGTCATGCGACAATTTTCAGAAAACGTACACTTGTGAAATAGCAACCAAGAAAAATTTTGATAACATCATCTTCCATAATTCGACCAATATTTTTTTTAATAATATATTATCACATACAGAAACATGTTTCCATTTGGTAAATAAACATAAAATCTACAAGTTTATCAACGGTAATTCGACTTTTAGAACACCTTGTATATAGTTAACAATGCTATCTTAAATATATGATAATATCGGAGTTTTTTTAAATCCGAAAATAATTCTTATAATTTTAATGAGTACACCTGTTTGAGTAGATACATTTTTTCAAACAGTTAAATTAGTGCCTGCTGGCCTAGATAATCGATTTTCTTTTATTAAAGTACATACGCCTATAGATAGGAATCGAACCTCTATTCCCCCTTTATTTTCTGGGAAAAAAACTTTTTTTATATAGGCGTGCCGTTAATGTTTTGTCTACGGAGTTCCTTCCAGAAAGGCAAAGCGCAATTCTCCTTTTCAAAAAATGCGGGATTGATTTTGGATTATTTTCTTTTTTTTTTTTTTTATAAATCTCTGAATAATCTTGGCTTATAAAGATTAATTTCTCGATTCATACATAAATAGGGCTGTTATCTTAAATACAGGTATCAGCAGAAATAACATCTATATGAAAATTACTATGTTATAGATATAGGCAAAATAATGTACCAATGCGAGATATATATATATATATATATATATATATATATATATATATATATATATATAGCGTGTATTTTGGTAGCATGTTTTCATTGAATAATTTAGAAAATTTTTGTCTACTTCTCTTCAATTGGATCCTTTCGTATTCACGGACGAGCTTTTAAAGCAACAGTGAAAATTACCGCGTTGAAACATTTATTCAGAGTACTTTAGCACAATGTCATCATCAGGGTGTTGTTTTTGTTCCAAGACAAATATAATACTGTTCAACATTTTCAAAGACAAAATTGCTATGTTCATCTGGAAGTTTTTTTTTTTTTTTTTTTTTTGTTTTTTTTTTTTTTTGTTTTTGTTTTTTTGTACTAGTGAAGTGAAGAACGTCGAGTTAATTGGAATTAGCGAGTAACGTTTCAGGGGAAGTAACTAAGTTATGATGTGTCGATAGTTTTTGGTTTTTTTTTAATATATATTAAGAATTATTGGTACAAATCTCAATAAATTAAACTAACTACACATTTTAAAACATTTGTGCAGTATTCACAATTAATTTTATTAAGTTTTGGTTTCAACTTTTAATATAAATAGCTTCAAGAATTTTTAGTTTGTTTATTATATACAAGTATAGATGTTTTTAATCAAGATTTTTTTTTAATTGCGAATGTGGACAGATATACTGTTGAAAATGTTTAGAAATGTTGGACGCATTATTCAAATGAAAATTCAATCGTCTAGACTACGTGGTCGTAGTGTGGACAACATAGATATTATTTTTCCGTTGAAGATACAATCTCCTAGAGGATATTTAAATTTACATACAATGTTGGTTTTCTGCAATACCTTAGTTGGTGGGAAAGAGTCACTACGAATAATTAAATTAGAAATACTTGGTGTGAAATGGTTAATATATCTAAATGTATTTACTTCAGTAAGTAACCTCAGGTTGAAATTTTCACCGCTAATATTTGTTTTTCAAAATAATCTGCTCTCTGGTCAATGAATTTACGATATCGGACCTCATTTTACAGCACCCACTGCTTCATTAAATATCACTGTTATAGAATGAGGCTTGAACCGAGTAACGGTTGTCTACACTGTCTGGATAAATATTAGCCTACAAGATAGTTTCCTAGCATAAAATGTATTGAATGTAAGAACCTATGTTAGTTAATTTTTAAAGAGACAGAAATATTCATAAAGCTTTCATCCTCACTCTATAATTCGATAACTTTGTTTATTCGGTGTCAGAAATAATTTTTTAAAATGTTTGCCCAGTAACAAATATTCCTTCAAGTTTGAACTTCATTTTAAAACGTAGTTTTCATCAGAAAATATCTAATTTCTTTTTCATGTTTTAACTGTTATGGAATAAATAAATGCACTAAAAGAAGAACATTTTTATTTACATTATTTATATTCGTACTATTGTCCTCGTCTTTGTTGTTTGATTGTCCTACATAAAAATAACCTAGTTGAAAAAGCGTTGGTTTGTGAAATTGTCTCGTGGTTAAAAATGTTGTTTTTGTTTTTTCTTTTGGATTTGGGGACATAGTGGTTCTGATTTCAATTTCTGTGTTGAACAGTGTGCACTTGCATTCAGTGAAAACGGGCGAGCAACAGCCGAATAATACTAAATAAAAAATAAGAACGAGACGATTATCCCTCGACATTAGCTGTGGGATGAGAATTGTCTAAACCTCGTCGATTAAATAAAGGGTTTAGTTCGGAATTCCCTACAGGTTGTACAGATCAATATACACCTGGGGAAGAACACGACGACCGAAATATTGTGATAAAAACAACAAAGATGAGAAAAATAGTCCAAATAATGATTATTCCTCATTTCAGAAATTCAAACAAAGGAATTTTTTTTTTATTGTTTTGAGAATGTATATTTTCTGATATTTTTTCCTTTTTCTTTTATTTTCTCCATAATTAGCGGACAGCACGGGAACTGAATCCCGTTACACAATTTACGAGGGACACGAGATAATGTTTCATGTATCGACTTTACTCCCGTACTCTCCGGATAACAGGCAACAGGTTAGTGGGCGATCTTCTGTCTATGTTCAAATTTTATCATCAACATTAACTGCCTTCAAGCCAGTGTCACCATGTTTTGTTTTGTTTTTCTCTATTTTCTAAAATATTGTCCGTCTTATAATTCACTCTTTTCCTCCACTAGACTCACTTTTTGTAAATTCACTCTCATTCCTTTCAGGCACAGAGAAATTAAATGCATTCTATTACTTATATAGGATCCATGGATCAAAACTATAAAGTTTGTAATTTTCTGTATTCTTTCGTATGTATGTGTTATATATATATATATATATATATATATATATATATATATATGAGAGAGAGACAGACAAATGGAAAACTTTTGAGTTTTTTCATTATATTTTTTACAGATATATAGTTGTATATTTAGGCAGCAATCCTTCCTTTATGCATGTTTCACTAAAAACGACAGACAAGGTACTACGGTTAAGCTTTTTATTTAATTTTTCTTGTGTGCGAACAAGAGCTTTTCTTTTCTGAACAAAGTGTGTGTAAGAACTGTCCAAATGTTTTATATTTCCGAACGCTTTTGGCTATACCTTTTAGCCGTTATCATGGATGATTCGATTTTTCAGCTTAATTGAGTGTTTGCGTTATGTCTTAGTGTGTGGTAGGGATGTTTTTAATTTCCGAATACTGTTAGCCCATTGTGGCTTTGTTCGTAGTTAATATTGTGAAGAGTTGGCTTTTTCTTTTTTATTATTAAAGCTTCCATTATTTTTAGTCTTTTTTTGCAGGTAGATGCAGTTAATATATTTCTGTTTTCTACTAGTATGTTTCTAATGGAGTCTAGTAAATTTGTGTGTGTGTTTAAATGGGTTCTAATGTAGCTGCGATCAGATAGATGTAACGTAAGACGTCTGGATAAGCATGTGGTTGTGTAACCGATGTAATTATGAGTCCGGTTTGATCAGGAACACAGTTCCTTAAGAGGCATTTGGACTCATAGATAATGTTCGTTCTTTGTAATTTTGACTTAGCTGGTGTGTTGTTATTTTTGAGGATAAGGTTAGCTGTCTTAAATTTTTTATATATATAATGAAATTTTACATATATTGAAAGATTAATGGAAGTTTTTTTTTGTGGTGTAACCCCACCCAAGAAAAAAAAAACAAAGGCCTATTTGCGATACATACGCGTATCTTTTTACTCTGTCGCAATCAACCAGTGTCTACCGTGTTTCACTTTGGTGCAAGCTGGACTTGTGTCGACCATTTTTAGTCTAATGCAAGAAGGACCCGTGTCTACTTTTTTTCTCTGGTGCAAGCCGGACATTTGTCTACCTTTTTGACTCTAGTGAAAATCATATTTACATCTGTTGGCTTTTATCACAACTATTTATTTATTTCACAGTTATTGTACAAACGATAATGCTTCATCTGGTCGTGTAATATCATACATAACAGTTTATAGGATATGTAAACAAGAGAAATGAAAGCAAAATGGGTAAATTTGAATTTCTCTATCTGATCTTCATAGCATCATCTTCAGGCAGGCTGTCTTTCCCAGGTTAAAAGGCACTAGGTTAAATTGCAAATTCTCTTCGGTAGATTTTTTTTCTTTGTTTCCTGTCCCCTTTGTTTATTGATGATGATCGAAAAATGAGCTTATAATTATAATAAAAATTAACAGATATAAAATGAAAGATTTTAATCAAAATTTGATGTCATCAACAAGAAAAAACGCCGATGTGTTGATCGAACGGTTATGGCGTTCCTTGAGATTGCTCAAAGTTTTTACCCCTACACACTTCACAAAATCAATATTATGATTTTTTAATCAATAAGGTATAGAATCCTGTACATTTGAATATCTATCGTTATGCGATGGTTAAAACTCTCTCCTTGCAGGCCATTTCGCACATGTCATGAGGAAGAATGTGACTGGAACACTCCTTAAATAGATCCTTTCACTCGTAAACAATAGGGAAATAATGCTTGTAGATTAGATTTCATTAAACATTTATCAAGTCGTGACATTTGTTAGAATTGGAAAATGTTGATTTTTTTTTTTATCATTTTAATATGGGGACCCGTTCATTATATCGATAAAGTGAAAATTGGATCCCTGAATTTTTACCAAGTTATCTAGATTTAACTTTTCTATGTAAGAAAGCAGAGCATTTTTACAAAAATATTTCTTTTCAAATAAAGAACAAACAATTATATACATTTTTAATTAAAGAATTGTTATATACCATATCTATGAACACTAATGGGTATGTCCCAATCCTCATGTTGGGCATTATTGTAAGTGGGGGTAATATGCTGTCTAAGGAGTTCACCACTAGCAGTGGTTTACCTACTTCACGTCGCTGGCGAGTATTGTATTTTGTTGATGTTATAAAGATTACCATTTCATTTCCAACCTCCGTTTTGGTTATTCCTCATTCAGTAACCCTTTCTAGGTTACAAGAACAATTTACATATTCTTCATTATTATCCCCAAAGTTTTGTGTATGCTTCTAAAATATCCTCAACCCCAAAAATGTTATTTTTAAATTGCAAATTATTTAAATAAACTGGAATTTTTTGCTTGTCAATAAAATATTCTTTAAGAAATACAATTATTTTACTATTTATTGCAAACCAAATTAGCATATATTTCAACAGAACCATAGCAAAAAAAGCAGATTTTTTTTATAACCCGCTTTATAAAAATAAAACAGTCACAGAATGAGTGATATCATTTCAGTGTATGGGACTTTTTTAGAAATTATAACATCTAGAAAATTAAAATCACTGCCTCCATAAAAATTTCTAATATCTTAACATTCTGAACTAAAATTAAAAATATTATCTACTTGAAACGTAATGACAAAAACTAATACTTTCTTTTCTTTGCTTCCTGCAAAGTCAAATATAAGTTTGACATAATGATATCATTTCAGTTTATGAAACTAATTAGCAATTAAAACACCGAGAAAATTAAATTAATTTCTTTATAGAATCTTGATGAGTCCTAGGCCTATATTATCCGAAAGGATAACCCAGCCCTATACATAGTTTACTAAAAAAAATTTTCATTATTCTACGTCTACAGGAAACAAGGGTATTGTAATATTTTATGGCTTTCCTATTATTTTCGCTTGTCTTTTCAGGTGGAAAGAAAACGTCATATCGGAAACGACATCGTCAACATTGTCTACTTTGACTGTGACTTTGACAAACAACCAACTTTTAAGCCGAACATGATGAAGACACATTTTACACGTATCCTTTTGTGCCAGACGCATATGCATACAATCTGTAATTTACGGGTAAACTGCAAGGGAATGTTTTATGCTTAGCATTCCAAATTGATGACATACCTTTTTTTTTCTCATGTTTTTCCTTTGTCATAGATCAACACTTCCACTGCTACGGGCATACTTCAACGTTATTACGCAACTTATATTAACCTGCTGTCGGCGTATACATACGTCTTCATGCTGTACTGATAATCCTTTACAAAATTTATATTGCTTGCTATCGACGTAAATATACGTTTTCAAGACGTACTTATAAGCCTTTTCGGCACTTAATTTGTCTGCTGTTGGCGAACATGTACGTTTTCAGGACATACTGATGAGCTTTTATGAAACATATTGCCTGTTGCCGACGTATACATACGTTTTCATGGCGTACTGCTAATCCATTACGGTATATATATTGTCTGCTGGCGACGTATATATATATATGTATGTGTGTGTGTGTGTGTATTTATGTTTTCATGACTTACTGATAAATTTATTAAGTTTTCATTTCAATAAATTTACGTAGATTTTTATGACCTACTAATAGTTGTGTCCGTTTATTTCGCGAGATAAATGTAGCGCATTATTTGGCCAAGATTCAGTCCTTTGTTAGTGAAGGTAGAGTGACTTATCCGGAGTGTAGGCATGTGCAATGGTCTTTGGAGGTTGTACCCTGTCCAGATTGCATGGCCACCCTTTCGGCTGTACCGACAAGATCCAAAGGCTTGGTTGCAGGAATTGTCGAAAAGTCGTCAGTGTTGACAGCCAACCACCTTCGGAGATCCACTCCATGTTTTCCCCTCTGGATTTACTTTCTTTTCCGTGTTTGGATATGACCGCAGTGTAGCGGAGGTTTAAAATCAAGGTTTTCCTTCCCCTAAATGGATTGCCTTTCCTGATAAGGTTTTACGAAGCTTATATTTTCTACTGTCGACTTTGGAAGTTCAGTCAGTCGACTGGCTGATCGGTTGAACTCTCTGCCTTCGGGCGGGGAGGAACCCGAAAGAGGCTACGCCGAAGGGCGGATTCTCTTTCGGAGAGGTAAACCGACCCTGAACCCGTTTATACGGGTTCAATGGGCATATTTTTGGCCGAGCCTACGGGCTTGGAGATCCCACGTTAAACCGGCCTTGTGCCACATGACGCCCTCGTGGGTGGGGATAACTGAATATCGTCGACTTTGGAAGTTAGTCGGATTGACAGACACCTGGAAAATGCTAGATGGCACCACACTCGAAATGGTGCAATAGTTGAAATAAAGACAAGGATATTCGTCAGTTTGAGCATCATGTAAATAATACTTCATCTCTGAAATTCAGACTTTTGCGATTTTTTTTACTAGTTCGACTGATTTTAAACTTTTATAAAACATATAAATTTTATTTAACATCAAACAGCATTTTTTATTTATCTGATAATTCAAAAGTAGAGTATTCTACGAAAAATGACTAAAATTATTCTACTCGTGTATTTTCCGGAGATTTTTAATACTAGAATTGAAATCCTCACAGTATTTAGCATTGTTGTAGTTATCGCTCACATTTTTGTCGGGATTTACAAACTCTACGTTTCGTTCAATTTCGCAAACCAATCGATGAAATTTGAATAAGTGATTTGTTTCGGAAAATATTTTGACAAAGTCCCTACTTCGAGGTTTAATAATTTCTTTAATTTAATTTTATAAGACTTCATGGTAAACAATATTTTTAAAGAAAATTCATATTCTTCCTTTCTCCTATTTTAACAGCGAATAATAAATTCTTAGGATTTCTTACTCTTGAGCATGCAGCATACAACTGGCCACGCGTAAATGTTTCATTCTGGAGTCAAATTCCAACTTTTTGAAGCATTTGGGTTTATGATCTTTTAAAAGTTCTCGAAAACGCAGGGCGAACTGGATTCTTGTATATATGAAAACTTAAAGAAAAGATATGCAAAATCAATATTGCATATTTATGAAATAATTGTTTCTTATTTTAATCATTACATTGTTTTTAGAAATAAGTGTCTGATTATGTGCTACCCAAAAGCTCATGAAATCTGAACAGATTTTTTTTTTAAGCATTACGCCCCAAGCAAGGCGTGAAGCCACTAGGATGCAGGGGGTTGCGGAAGATTTGGAGAGAGAGCGGATAGGAGTGATAGAAGAAAGGATGAGGAGAAGGTTAGTGGGTAGATCAAGGTAACTGGAGGTGTCGATTGACATTACATTTGAATAGTTGGAGATTATAGCTTTCAGGGAAACAGTAATTGGGGAAGGTGTTCCACTGGCGAGAGGTGCGAGGAATGAAGCTATTGGAGTAGAAGAGACGGCTACATTTAAAAATTTCTATAGTGTAAGGGTGGGAGCGCGATGCCAGCCTCGTAGGGCGCTTGAATTCATGGAGTCTGGGAACCAGTGAAAGCAGCTCATCGGAGCAATTACCATGGAAGTATTTGTAGAAAAGACAGAGAGAGGCGACGTCGCGTATTCAGTTTGTTTGTCTGTCACTTTATCCGCCATCTCCCTCGTTTCGCCGTATATTTCATACATAAATCTAAAAGAAATAAAGAATTTTCTTTTCTTTTTTTTTCTTTATATAAGCAAATCATTTTGCGATATACGTTCTTCATACTTTGGGGTAACATCCGAGAATGTCCGAAGAAAATACCGTGTGATATGATATATAAATTTCGATGATATAGCTACTTTCCCGAATATTTCTTAAAATTCTGTATAATTATATATATGTATTTTTGTGACCGCTTAAAAAAAGATCTCCCCCCTCCATTTCTTCAAATATTTGAGGCCAATAGTATTGTTTTATTTTGCTGAACTTTAGGGCGAAAAAAACCTAATGATAGAAATTTTGTTTGAATATTTACTTGTCCGTTAGGCTACAAACTATTCGAGATGATTCTCTATCCAAATAAAGATTGCGCACAGAATTAATTAATTTCGACGACAGAAGAGGAACGATGTTTTCAATAAACATTGTCTTTCAATGTTTTTTTTTCTGTTATTTTTTTTTCTATTATGTTTTTGAGGGGTTATTTTTCTGAACTTTTCCAAAGATATATACGCCGTTGTTATGTACAGCCAAGAGCAGGATGCATACAAGTGAGTATTAATTGTTTTCTCTTTAATTAAAATACTTCCATGATTACCGGTCATTCCAAGTGGCAAACACGACCCTTAATACCGACATAGATTAAATTTAAAACCAGAAAATAAACTACAATCTATCCAGTGAAATATCGTCCACACGATAACTCTTGAAAATTTTATAATCTTTTATATATATATATATATAGTTTATGTAAACTTAGGTAATCCGTATTGGTAGACCTGAGGAGGATGATATCCAGAGAGCTCAATGTGAAATTCAGAGCAGATATGTTTGAATAAAAAACAGATCACGTTAAGATTCCATGTAATAAGCTCTTTCACCATAACCCCTTTAACAGGGTTCTGGATCATCAGACTTTACTTCCAAAAGCTGAAATGAAATGTGAAAATTCTTCAGAATAAACCCCATCATTCTCAACGTTCTTCTGCCAGCATCTGAATCTTTTCCAGATACCAGTCCGCTGTCTTTGAATTCAAAAGCTGTAAACAAGCTTCCTTCACTTTATCAAAAGTGTTGAATCGCCGGTCGCGGAGGAAGTGTGCCATTGAGCAGAATAAGCCATAGTCGTTCGGTGCAGCATCGGGACTGAATGGTGGATGTGGAAGAATCTAAACACCGTCCATCTATTTGAACTTTACGTTAGTTAACCTGGCAATGTGTGGTCTCGCATTGTCTTGCTGAAATAAAGTCCGACCTCGTTTGACCAAAGCAGGGTACCCCTTCTTTAGTTTGTCGTACACGCGGTCTAGCTGCTGGCTGTGCAGTTTAGCGTTGAAGATGCGACCGTGTGGAACAAACTCGAAATGGAAATTCCACCGAAAAGAGATCAACATTTCTTGTGTTCTTTCCGCTTTTTAAGGGAGTCAGGACTTTTTAGCCAACCTATTTTTTTTTTAATTACCGTGTTTTCACGTGTAAAAATTGACTTTTTTAGTGCCAAAAATGTCAACGCTTTTTTCTACTTTACCTTTTTAAGCGCCAAACTTCACGAATCCCTCGCTGCTCAATCTCTATTTCCATGGAAAGTGTTCAGACGAACTACATTGCTTAGTTCCACTAGTTTTAACATTCACGGCTAGGACCCGCCATGCCACGCCCATTGTCCTGAACCACCCTCATTCCCTTTGTATTCCCTTAGTGAGATGTAAGTTCCACTCAAGCAGCACCTTCCCACGAACCGCTGCTCTGTGAAATCGACTTCCAGGAGCATGGTACCCTGATCACTACAATCTTAACCTCTTCAAGTCTAGGGTTAATCATTATCTTTCCTACATATTTGCATAAACTATACCTCTTGCTCTGTAACCCTTGAGTCGGCCCCGGGCCTTGCACGCGGGTAATATCATTGTAGAATAAAAATTATGTAACGTCACCTTTTTTTTTTTTTTTTTTAATCGCGCCTTGTCTCCAATTTCACTTCTGAACAAGACTAACAAATACCTTCTTTCCATCTGTGCTATTCGGTCTTTGATGAATCCTTGTTTTTTTATCCTTGACCTTCCAACGTCTACGAAAGAAACGTTGACGCTAAAGCTGTTCATGCACAGCTTCTGGCTAAGATCTTGTAATTCTATAATGTTGGTTAAATCACGCGTGAATGTTGATTTGGTTTTCTGAAAAAAGTCAAATCATGCCTGTGAGAACGCAGACCTTCCTCTTGGGCAGTGATATTTTCGCTACAACAGATCAACATCTCGCTTCAGGTAAAAGTATTATCGTCTATTTGAAGAACATGAATCAATATAAAAAAAAGTAATATAAAGTTGTAATGAAAGATAAATGTTCACCCGTTATTTTTAACTCCATATCATGAAGAGTGCGATCATATCTGTCCAGTTTTCTTTCCCCATGTGAATTTCTGTGCTTTCTTGAGTCTTGTGGTTTCTTGACTCCTTCCCCACTGTTTTGGATTCAAAGTTAGACTAGCGTGTTTAGAATGCAATATATACCCTACTATTTAACCCGTACCTGGGGAGGGAGAATAAAATGATTAGGCTTGAAACCGGCTCACCAATTTACCATTCTATACCGATGTACGCGTATAGATCGTTGTGCGATATATGAACAACACAATCGTGTCAAGCAGAAAGAATATGAGAAAGAGAAATTATTAAGGAGAGAGAATCATAAAAGAACAAGAATTAAGAAGACAGAAGATAAAGATTGCCATTGCATTTAAATTTGTGAAGATCAACGTTGACTGGGAAGGAAGACAATTCCACCAGCGAAAAAAGTGCTACAGAAGAAACTGTTAACATAGAACTTACGGTTACATCTAGCTGTAAACTGTAAATTGATGAGCGTCCGGCACCAGTCTAGTACTGCTCTTAAATTCAAAAAGTTTAGTTACCATAGTGAAGAGCTCACCCGAGCAATAATATGGCCGATTCTTTTTTTTGTATTTTATCAAGGAGCTCTAGATGATTAGCAGGAACATCGAACCATACGTGGCAGCAATACAGTGTAACCCGGATATAAGAGAAACCCGGATATAAGAGAGATTTTCTCTGGTCCCAAATTAGAGCCTGTGTTAATGTATATAAAATAGACCAAACCCGGATATAAGAGAAACCCTGATATAAGAGACTTCTTCTCCGGTCCCGACAACTCTCTTACATCCGGGTTACACTGTATTCTAAGTATGGACGAATGACAGACTTATAGATATATTAGATGCTGGAGAGGTAATTATTGTTAATATTATTAGTAGTATCACAGCGAGCAATATATATAGTAATGTTATATCGATTACACAAGAATAGTGTGCACAACGCAAATATCTATTTGAAGTACTAGGAAAACTTTATATATTTTGATATTAAAATAATCCTTAACGTTTAATAGACACAATCCACCTGCGATAGAAAATGAGTTGAGCAAATACACAAAAAAAGAAAAAGGGGTAAAAGAAGAAAGTTTTTTTTCTTTTTTGCTCGCCTATTTTTTTTTAAATTTTTCTTTGATCGTATTCAAATATTCTTGAAATTCTAATGGAAGTAAAATTTCATTGTTGACACATCTGAGCTCATATCGTCTACCACAAAGAAATCATTGACTTTTTTTTTTCTTCATTTTTTTAATAAGTACTGATTATCGTCTTTTCGGAAAGTTTCTTGGATGGATTGCACATAATGAAAAATACAAGCTTGAGTCACTAAATTCCGTTTCTAAGAACTATAACATGCCAGAGGTTTCGCAAGCAAAAATTACTTGTTCTTCAAAAAAAAAAAAAATCGTAAGAGGAGCAGCTGGGTTTATTTCAAGCCGGACAAGTAAATCATTTCTAATGTTTATTCTAGTTATTTACAAAGCCGAGTTTCATCCAGACTTCTTCTATATGCTACGTCCCTTCAGGGCGTTGGCGATCATGGCTCTCCACAATTATTTATTTTATTTTGTAGCTCTTAATAAATGTTGTCTTTTTGTTATCTCTCCTAAAACTTGTTCCGCCACCCATTTAATCAAATTTACTTAGTAGGTTATTCTTTGTTTTCCTCTGTTGCTCTTGCCTTCAATATGTCCTCTGAGCGTTCAATTTTCCAAGTCTTCTTTCTTCATTAAATATGCTAGAAATTTCAAGTGTCTCCTTTTGAGTCTAAATATAAGTGTCCTTTTTGTTTCCATTTTCTTCAGAGATTCGTCGGTGCTCGCATGTTCGGTCCATGGTATTTTCAGTAAAAACAACATTTCTGTTGCCTCATTTTTTTTTCATCTGTGACGAGATTGTCAAAGCATTCACTATTATGTAGGAGGACTGGTATTATATATTATCTTCTTTGTTTCTAAAGAGATTTTCATGTTTCTTAACATTTCGCTTTGCTTTTAGAAATCATCTTTCCCTCTTCCAATATATATATATATATATATATATATTTAAAGAAACGACAATAGTGTTACGCCTTTATTCTTCTAGAGTTCTGTCTCATTCGAACTGCTGTTTTTCTATCTAAATGTATTCACGTGTGGTGCAAAAGGTAAAGGTTCGATTTCCCTATAAGTCGGAGCCTGTCTATTATGTACTTTGCTTTTTCCAGTTAGGCTACGAAATCCAGACATCGTTCAGTTGTTGAAGCCATTCCTTTTTGTTAGCATATTTGATTCTTTCCCTGTACAGAAGATAATAGTGACATACACCGAAATCTCAAAAGCTTTCGTATCGTATGCTGCTTTTACAGAAGAATACAAATAGAAAAGAACATACCTCACAACTGAAAGAGATTGACGAGCTCATGTAATAATTTAATTTTTGAAAATCAGGACTCAAAATTCCAATCTTTTTACCCGAGCACGGATACCGACTTCTGCCATCTGTGGGAATGTACAGGGTGTTCCAAAAGTCGCATTACCATTGATAACCTCGTAATCATGTTACCGACTTCTCCTAACCAATTGTGGTTCGTGTTTCACTGATTGGCATGAATTGCATAGAAAAATATGCAAATCCATTTCTATTTTCACAAATCGAAAAGCGTCCACCAAACCGCTATAAAAACAACTGACTTTCCCTTAAAAAAAGCGATTTCTACGAGAAGATACGTGTGTTTACATGGAGATTTGGACTTTTGGAACATACTGTATAATAAAAGTTCACAAAGTCACACAACAATTAGCAGAAAACATACACTTATGGAAGAGCAATCAAGGAAATTTTGCATGACATCATCTTTCATAATTCGACCAATAAAATTTCTTAATAATATTGTCTCACATACAGAAACATGATTCCATTTAGTAAATAAATATAAAATTTACAATGTTATCAATGGTAATGCGACTTTTGGAACACCCTGTACATTCCCACAGATGGCAAAAGTCGGTATCCGTGCTCGGGTAAAAAGATTGGAACTTTGAGTCCTGATTTTCAAAAAGGCAAACAATCTCTCACCCACTTGAATACTCTGCGAGTGGTGTTAAAATTACTTATGCACAACTACTATTGGAAAAGATATAAATCCATCTCGTCTCTCTCAGCTATGGGTTAAATAGTTGAGCCTGAAAAATCATTGTGATTCTGAACAAAATTGTTAATGTGATATTCACTTGTAAAGAAAGAATTATCCTTACAATCCGAAATGGTTTCGCTTTAAATAACTCACAATGGGTTGATACAACGTGAAAAATACAAATCAATAAAAGTTATCTTTCTATCACCTTCCTTCTTTTTTCTTTGTGTCCTGTCTAATTCTAGTAAAATTCAGGGAGAATCAGTATTGCTTCCTGATTTTTCATTGCCGAAGCCAAACAATGGCGTCTTCAAGTTTATTTTGAAAAATCAAAAATAAGCAAGCTTTCCCATTTGCCCGATTGCCGAAATACAGTCATCCTACTCTCCTTTCATGGAAATGTTTTCCTAACATACACATCACTGATTGATTATATTTCAAGGTTCCAATGTTCGATCTTGAAAATTGACTTAATGCAATTGATGTAAATAATCTTATTTTTTTCTCTTGACAGACTTTCAGTGTTTTCTGAAGAATCAGTTCCATTGTTTGGGCCAGTATTACCTTCACCTCCTATTTTTGCCAATCATAAAGAGTTCCGCGACTTCCTTCTGGTCAAGCGTAAGTATCACCTCCTTTGTGGTGTTCTGGCTGAATTGGGCTCCTAGCTCATATATACAGAGATATTACAAAATATACGGCAAAAGTTCGTACTAGAGACGTTTCTTTCATTAAAGTGGTAATGTCTCATTTCCATCCAAAACATTAACTTTAATTGTCTTCGCCATCTCGTATCCAAGAATTTAATTTCTTCTTTTCTGATCACTTCTATTATGATGATGCTGTTGATGACTACATTCACTGCCAACATGCAGATTCAGGATTAAAAGCTTCCAGTTTCACTAGTTCCTGCTCTCGCCATCCATCCCTATCGATTTTGGTTTTGCAAGAGTTAAGGGTGAAAGAAAATCAGAGTAGAAAAAAGTGCCGATGGAGCGAATTTGTTTAAGGTGGACCTCAACTTTCCAGGAAGTGACCCACACACTTTATTTCATGACCGTTCTCTCCGGCACACATGGAATGAGACATGAAGAATCCAGTTATGAAACTGCAAAGGACTGTCGCTGACTTTTCTAATTTATCGTTTTGTTATTAAAGGGTGTTTCAATAAATTGGACCGATTTTAAATGTGAATTAAGTTTAAGCGTCTAATGATTTTTTTTTCTTTTTCTTTCAGATTTCACAACTTAAGTCTTTGGCAATTTCAACCATGGACACACATTTCACATCTGCCACCGACCCAGTTTGTTTGAATTTACGAACAATTTTTCCAATTGCGTTCTCGGTTGGTCGATTATGTTGACCAAAAACATTGCGAAGTGCGCGAAATGTATTTCTGTTTTCGTAATAGGTTTTGATAACTTTAACACGTTGATTGATTGTTAATCTTTCCATGGTTGAAATTGGCAAAGACTTAATTTGTTAAATCTAAAAGAAAAAATCATTAGACGCTTAAACTTAATTCCTATTTAAAATCAGCCCAAGTTATAGGAACAACCTATATAATTGTCATTAAATAAAGTAAAATTTGATGACGAACTGTTTACTCCGACTTCCAGTGTAAAATATATATGTGTGTCTGTGCGTGTCTGCTTCCATGTGTGTACCTCTGATGATCACCACTTGTTGTGTTGGAGGGGCTTGCGTAGTTCATTGACTAAAAGAAAGATGTTGTCGGGAGTTCAAAACTCCTAGTAGGGCCACATTTAGCGGCGAGGTCGAAGACGAGAATCCAGACTAAGAGCACCCAACCCCAAAGACCCCAACGGTGGAACAAGCGGGTGATGATGAAAACAGGTATGAACCAGCAGGTGAATAAGGCTACGCATGACAGACATGCTAAAGAAGGCGCCACTTGAAATTATAACTTTAATATATATCCACTGATTATAGCTTCTCAATGTTCATCAGTTCTTTAAAAAGTAACGGGTCTCACCCTGGTAATTTCTGCCACATCTGCATAGGATGTTGTACGCACAGTCCTTGATAAGTTTCTTGTTTTTTGCGAGTGTAGGTACTTTTGTGAGATGTCTGTCTAGCTTAGGACCGCTTTTAAATACTTTCCTGATATTGTACAGTTTGAATGTTTTTTGTAACTCTTCTTGATATGCGTTAGAGGACATATAGCCCAAATAACAAAAACAAATAAAAATGTCCAAAATGACATATATACATTTACATTTGGTGATTATTTTTTTTCTTATTTCAGTGATCAATGGAGAGAAAGCAGCGGTGAACAACCGTCTGTTCGCCCAGAAGAGAGAGCGAACCCTGGACATGTTGATACGCAATATTTATCAGGAGTATATGCCAGAATTATCCAAGGTAATCCTCAGTCTTTTTCCTCAATATATATATATATTTATATAGATGGTTGTATAATATATGTCATATGTATCTACATTTGTTCAAGATTAAGCAACATGTGTGATTTTATCGAGAATTTTAATATTTTACCTTAAAATATACGTTTATAATTATTGTAGAAGATTGATTTTTCATAGCACTTTTCAGAAATAAACATTATGGTTGCGAATAAGCAAATCTCAGAGTGACGCAGGTTTGGGCTTTTTATCAGTTAGATTTTTGACAACACACTGACGTGTGTTGAAATCCTCACAGCATTTTGCATTATTGTAGTTATCGCTAACATTTATCTCGAGATTTACAAACTCTACGTTTCGTTCGATTTCGAATTTGAAAAAACTAATTCTTTGGGAAAAATACTTTGACAAATACCCTATTACGCGGTTTAATAATTTCTTTCATTTAATTTTATAGGACTTTATGGTAAACAATATTTTTAATAATTTTTTTATCGGTTTTAACAGCGTTGAAAAAAAATTCTTAGGGTTTCTTACTCTTGAGCATACAACAGGCCATGCGTAAATATTTCTTTCTGGGGCCAAATTTCAATTTTTTTTTTTTTTTTTTTTTGAAGCGTTTGGCTTTGTGATTTGCTTATAGTTCTCGCAAACGCAGGGCGAACAGGATTTTTGTATATATGAAAACTTAAAGAAGATATGCAAAAACAAGATTGCATTTTTTAAAATAATTACTTATTTCAATCATTACATTGTTTTTAAAATAGTGGGATTATTTTGTATGTTAAATAATAAAACTAGATTTTTCCCAATAATTTATTAAAATTTATTGTACTAAGCTACGCACCCGAGTAAAACTAATTGCACTTCTCCCAAACATTTCGTTTCGCTCGGTCAATGTATGGCTAATTTAGAGGGTTTGACGGACTGACAGAAGTTACAGAATTTAATATATAAATAGACTGATTTGTGTGGAGTTCAGCTCTCCTTTCTTTACTAGCATCCATATAGTAGCTAAATGATTATAACCAGTCTTTGTAGAAAGTCCATAGATCGAATTATCTTCGCTAATTCCTAAGCTAACCGTCCTTGGTAATGTTCATGCATCTTCTGAAAATGTCTTCATTTTCAAAAGCAAAATCTCCGAAACTATCATTATATATGGTGTCCCCACAAAATTGACATAATTTAAAATATGAATATCTGAGTAACTACATGTCCCAGGTAAACGACATTAAATCGGCTTCTTGTTGAATAATAAAAAAATGCCAAAATCCAAACAAGATAATCAAAGGGATGTAGATTTTATCACCAATTTCAAAAAGCTCCACAAATCTATCTTCATATCTATAATTCTCAAAGTGTGTGTGTGTGTGTGGCTGTTTATGCGTTTCCACAGTTTTCATCCTATTGCGGTGATTTGTTTTTTTGTTTGTTTGTTAGATAATTCTTCAGTGCCGGTTTTCAGTCCAAATTGGCTGGAAAAAATTACAATCTTGAAGGTGAAAAATAAAAAAAAAAACTGATCTTCTAAATTTTGTGCAAAAATCAAAGGCAAAATTTAATGTCTGTAAAAAACGACATACAATCAATTTAACTCTAACGCAGAAGATTATTAAATTTTATATATATATATATATATATATATATATATATATATATATATATATATATATATATATATATATATATATATATATATATATATGAATAAAATTATCGTTTATTATTATTATGACGGTCCATGGAAGAGGTTCCTTCCTTACAAGATTGAGAACGCATAAACGATCCTTTTCAGTCTCTACCATTCAAATTGACCCCCCCCCCAATTTGGGGATGTGCCTCAGTTGCACTCAAATGTTGTTACTAATATTGATTTTCGGCTGGGCTGACTTTAAACTTCAACTGCTCTAATTGAACGGCAGAAATTCCCAGTAATGTAACACCCGGTCGAAGACGGGTTTTACAGCTAGTGTTCAATAAATCTTTTATTGTTCAACATGGAGCCTATTTAATTTCGTTTTCCCTGGGGCATGTAGTTACTCAGATATTTAAATTTAAAATTATGTCATTTTTTTATATATTTACTTTTTCTTTTTTTTTTTTTTTTTTTTTTTTTTTGAGGGGTTGGGTACCCTGTATTTACGTTTGATTACGAGTTCTTTTTTCTAATTGCTAAAATATTTCTCTGTATATTGTAATTGCTCCAAGGGCAACATCTTTTCTAGGTTAAGCTTACGGCCAGATCACGTTTAAACACCGATTCTCCAACAATCACAGAAATTAGATGAGTGTTTTAAACTTGGATGTACGTATAGTGTAATGGTTAATGGGTCGGAATTGTTAACCAAAGAGCCGATTTCCATTTCCCGTTGGGTTCGTTATTCACTTACGCACAAAATAACTATGTAAAAGTTATGAATCCACATCATCTTCTCCCAGCTATGGGTTAGTTAGCAACACTTGAATCACTAAACCATTATTATCTCGAAAAAAATTCTTACAATCTTCGAATATTTTCTGGCTTTAAATAACCTGCAAAGCGTAGAAAACGAATTATTAAAAAGAAACAGTAAAATGATTAAGTAGCTGGTCAAGCAAGCGATTGTAAATGATACTGTACCTTACAAGACATCCGATCAATTCTGTCTCGGGTCGAACTTGCCTTAATCCAAGTAAATTTTTTACTTAACGCCTTTTCTTTTATTAGACCGAATTTAGAAATATTGTTTTCATTAAAGATTCTATGGATGGTACAAACCTTTATTAATTCAACAAAACCAAAAATATTAAAATATATATATATATATATATATAACTCAGGGGAGGAGAAGATAAATGATAATATAATAATTTGCCATGAAGAGGTGACTCGAAATAACAAAAAAGCTAACCTGTTTTCGATCCTCGCTCTTCGTAGTCAATTAAGGACAAAAAGTGAAAATTGCGCTTCTCTGACTGCTTTTCTATTATTTTTTTTTAAATGTTGTGCACATAATTTACATTTTTGTCCTCGATTGATTAAAAAGAGCGAGGATCAAAAACAGATTAGCCTCTTTTTCCTGTTTTCTGAGTGTACAAAATTGTATCAATGCTGTAAAACGAAGACATTAAATATTAATATATCCATCAACCTTTCTAGGTTAAAAAACAAACTGAGTTTATTATGAACTTACCATTTGAAAAAGTCATATTCAACAGTAGTATAGAGATTTTTTAAGCCCGGCTTAGATATGGCACAAGGCCGAAAGTATGGGGCACCGAATGAGGATCGGACTCACTAGGCTTTCTAACCATCATACCACGCCGAGGTGCCCTCAACAGTAGTATAGATACGCTATAATAATAAAATAACAGCTTAAGTCCCACCTCCTTGAACCCAAACTGAAAGCCATAAATCATTAATTCATATATACAATACTCTGATAACGAATCTAAAGTGGTTGGCCTACTATAAGATCATTGTAAACTTTCCCGATTAGAAAATTAAAAACCAAAATTTACATAATCACAAAAGTAATACTTATTAGTCAAGTACATTGACTCCATTGTTTTTACAACTGTCTCTCATCGTTCAACAAGTTTGTTGATGCCATTTTCGTAGAAACTTCATGGTTTTGTTGAAAGAAGCTTGTGAGATAGTTTTCGACTGACTCTACAGTGTCAAGTTTTTTTTGTTTTTTGTTGTTGTTTTTTTATTTAAATTTTTCTATAGATATCGAAGCAAATGAAAATTCGAAGGAGCCAAGTCAGGAGAATACGGTGTGTTCTGAAGGGTTTCCCATTTCATCTCTTTAAGCATCTACAAGGTGTTTTACAGCATGAGTCTTGTGTTGTCATTGTGAAAAGAGACACCTTTTCGATTTTACACAAACATCCGTTTTTTTTTTGTTTTGTCCCCAAGCTTTTTCAAAATGGCGAAAGGTAGTTGTAATATCGATTTTCAAACTCTTAGCAATCTTTTTCGTCGAAATCTTCGGTTTATTTTCCACAATAGCAAACAAAGCGTCTTCATCGACATGGGAAGTTCGCCCAGAGCGTGATTGATTGTTTAGTTTAAAAACACACTGACAAAATCTGACAAATCATTTTTTTAACCGTCGATAGAGCCGGAATACGATCCAAATAAATCTTCTGAATATATATATATATATATATATTGTCGCAGTTTACTTTTCATCGCATTTCTAAAGTAATGATGTTAACATATTCACTGGCCGCATTTTATGTTTTAAAAGACCGACTTTTCCCCTCAAATGTTAGCATTTTGAAGATTTGTAATAAATGTGTGTAAACAATTTTTTAATATATAAAAAGAACACAGATTGCAATATTTTTATTACGTTTTTGTTTTTCTTTTCTCAGTTTTAAGAGATAAAAATTTGTAATCTTAAATTTTGAAACATTTAGCTTTAGAAATCTTGATTTCTTTTTCCAGTATTCCCACTCCTAAGAAATCAGTTTTTTTTTTTTTTTTTTTTTTTTTTTTTTTTTTTTGATTATATGACCAAATGATTGTTCTGTTTTAAAATTCAATTTATTCAACAACATATCACATTTTTTTCGATTTCAGAAAGGGAAGAAAAATTGTAACTTGATGCAAGTTCCTCATTAATCCCACTTCGAAACTAATCCCTTGTTGGAATTTGATCTATTTCCATATTTGTCACATATTTGCATAGTTATTAGGAATTTGCAAAATTCTAATATTCAGATGAGGGGGGAAATGTATTTTGTATATGAACTAATACGTTTAATGAATAACACAGCTGACATGAATTACATTAAAACGGGGGCACATTCATCAGTTCTTCTTTTAGGTAACGTGTCCCTTCAGGACATGGGTGATCACGACTCTCCACAATTTCTTGTCGCTTGTTACTTGAAATTTTTGACACTTGACTATCGAAAATTTGTACCCCCTCTGCTATACATTTACCCAAACTTATTAGGTAGGCGTTCCCTTCTGCCTTTAACACACCCTGTTAGTGTTAAATTTTCCACACCCTAAATTAAATTTTCTCATAATGTGCCCCAGAAATTTCCAGCTGTTTCTCATTTTCTTCAAAACTGCGTTGATGTTCATGTGTTCTGTACATGGTATTCTCAATGTAAAGACACTCGCTTGAAAATGTTAACAGCAGCAAAAGAAATGAATTCAGCGCATTCAAGAATATATATATATATATATATATATATATATAATCAGTGACGACACAGCGGTCTGGCTTGATGAGTGAGTCAACATTCAAGTATATTTATTTCAAAGCAACAAAAATATTTCGTAGTGTCTCGTTTTCATCCTTGACTTCAGCTAAATCCAAAATTGTTTTAACTTCGTTGATATTGTTTTTAATGATGAAGAAAGAAGAAAAACAAAGAAAGAAAGTAAAAAGAATGAAATAATATTAACGTAACTATTTGGGTTTCGTAGATCTGAACCCTATCTGAGATGGTAACATTTAATAAGAAGTGTATTTCTTGCTTTAATTTTATTACTAATCTTTTAAAAATCTCTAATAACTTGTGTACCCTGTTTTGCAAAGAACACGTTTTTATTAAAACTTACTTTTTTTTCAAATGCCCGTTTTAAATAATTTATTCTGTACAGTATAAGGTTTTTAGCACAATGTATCAATTGAAAATGGGCAAATTAAATTTAGCCCGATTTGAAGTCGGCGAAAATCAAAGAAAGCCTTAACTGGAGGTTAGACGTGTGGAGTTTGACTGGGACAGTGTTGAGGAAACATGATATCATCAGCAGTACTGATAATAAACGTAAAATTCACAGAGATACATAAATACACTAACGCATATACATATACAAACACACGGTATTTAAATATATATGTGTGTGTGTGTGTATCTGACTAGAGATTTTTTAAATTATATAATTTATTTATATTAAAGGAACCATTTTAGCATTTAACTTATGCCAATAATATATTTTGTTAAAGATTGTAATGAGCCCAACAAACACTGAAGACCTAGAGTCGCCACTGATATATATATAATATTACCAGTTCATGACTGTTAGGGATAATTCCAAGAAGTTCATAAATCCAGGGCGAGCTCAATGTAAACTACAGAGCATTGTAATGATAATAATAATAATAAAGAAGGAAACTTTAATTATTCATTTCGATTACAATTTATTTCGTGAACACCGAAATGTTCATCTCTTCAGATCGAAATCTTAGTAAATCGAGACAATACACCGGGTGGATATATTAGATTGATAGAGGAGAGGTGGAGCTGAAGAGATGAGATATATTGTGGGGGTTAGGAAAAGAAAGAGTTAAGAAAGTAATGGTTGGGTAATAGTAAGCTTAAACCGGTTGGCCCAACCGAGAATTTTTCCTTTAAAGTTTGGGTCTTTTTATATTTATAATTTGTTCTTATGTCTACATTTGAAAATCATTTCGCTCCGTTGGTTTTATAACAATTAAATACACAAATGCTAACCAATTGCTAACCAACCTAGAGAACTAACCTTCAAATGTAGACATAAGAACAAATTTAAAATTCCCAAAAATGCTTATTATATATTTTTGTGGGGATTGCACACTTGGTTCGTTTATACGAGTAATAGTGCATATGGGTGTACATTCGTGTGTATGTAAGAAGGTATGTACACGTGTGCATATATGTGTAGGTGTGAATGTAGGTTGGTATTGTGTATCACACGACGTTGTTGTTGACCATGTTTGCCGTAGTCTCTGAATATGGAATCCAGTGAAGTCCATAATCTGTTCAATATGGGCAAATTAAATTTAGCCCGATCTGAAGTCGGCGAAAATCAAAGAAAGCCTTAACTGGAGGTTAACGTGTGCAGTGAAAATTCAGAGAAAGAAATATGTTAAGTAATTCTTTAAGTCTTCGATATCAGGTTGGCAGTGCAGACAATTTGGTAGAAAAAAATGACTGCCTTTATACACGTCGCATTGAATATTTTGAGCTTTCTGATTGGTTAACCCTTCTATTGGTGAACTATAAAATGAGTCAGCTCATTTAGGCTA